GCCTGGTAATTCAACTTGTAAATACAGACTTCAAGTTCATTTCCGATTTACACCCTTATAACGCCTGAAGCTTTGAGATTTTTTCCTCTGTAGTTATTACTGAGAAATAATTACGGAGTTTATTATTTTTAAAATTTCATTTCAATGATTGATTGTAATCCCACGATGGTAATCTCTAAAAAAAAAAAGCTTTAGGATGTGCAACGAGCATTTGTATAGTTGTAATTGAACATTTTAGGTGGGCGTCGAGTGATTCAATAAAGAAGTCTATTACGGTATTTCAATGTAAAGGTTTGAATAAAATTTCATTTCCTTTCAGGTCGATTTGAAAGCCTTCATTAGAAGATGCCTACCCGGACAACGTCATTTTTTGTCTATATCAAAGTCCACTACCACAGCAGCAACACAAATGAAACGGATGTCTTTCTCTCAATCACGCAGTCAGAAAAGTACAAACTCGCCGACAAACTAGACGTTTGTACTCAAGTGATAGTACAACTATACCACTCTTCATTGACTAGTCTGAGTACCATTAATGTTGATCTATGTATTAATTATCTATTATTGAACTCCTAGTATAAAGTATATGTATATGTACACGTTACCACATCTTTGTTGTCAGGGTAATTGTTGCCGCTATATTGGCGTAGTTTTTGTAATCTTGTTCTCAGCACAAATCCACTTTGTTAATAAATTACCAGACTATATCTAATGACATGTATTGATATCTTAGGAACGGTTATTCTGCAAAAGTATGAATTGTGTATTATTATGAGTACTGTAGTACGAGCGTAGCCTTTTCAATGGCACGCAATGTAGTTATTGTCCTTAAGAATCCAGTTCTCTTCTGTGGTAATACGAGCTTAACTCCTCTAATCTCACTTCGTATTACTGAATTCCTGCTAATTCTTGCGAATTCAGTAATATGCTGATTAGTTATTTCTATCGCCTGCAGTGTAGATGTTTTCCCTGTAAATTCGGTCCTGGTTCTTCCAATCACATCCAGTGTTGATATTGTCCTTATGAATTCGATGCTGTTATGTGGATATACAGGCGTTGATCCTTCAGTCCGAAGTGTATGTGTTATTTTTACTGTTATGTTGTAACATATATATACTATTTCTCATCAAGTAAATAATATCTTACAATTCTATCACAGTTTCTAAAATGTATTTCCAACAATCTATTTACTATATTACTATTGTTACTAGTGAAATAAATATTTCCCGTTTTGTTTTCAATTGTGTTTTTTTTTTCCAAATAATAAGTACCTTAAGTGTATGGATGGTCCAGTTAAAAAGAACAAAAATATGTATATAAACAAAATATCTATTTCAAACAATTTATAAGAGTCTCTTTTTTCCCGAACAACATATTACATACAAAACACTAATGACACGTCAGCTGTATCCCTGTGAAATAATTTGGTTATATAATGCTTTGATAGAGTTTGGGTAACATAGTGTATCTCTTTACACTGTGTGAATAGTCCGACCCTGCTATTCAGGCGGTACGAATGTGATTTTGTTGTTTGATTTTTTTATTTTAGATCATGAATAAGTTTTTCATCATGCAGATGTCCCAGTCTGCAGCCTTAGCTTTTTATCTCGCATCAGGTGTAGTCGGGTTTCATCCTATAACATATATGTACCTATAACAGATATGTACCTATAACAGATATGTACCTATAACAGATATATACCTATAACAGATATATACCTATAACAGATATGTACCTATGACAGATATGTACCTATAATAGATATGTTTCAGATGTTGGAAATTTGCCTTGTGTATTTCTTTATAGACGCCACTGTGGGAGCATGTTCACTACATGTCTACAGACCACTGAAGTAACCTTTTTGGTTAGTGAGTATGGTTCAATGGTTTGTGTGTCCACCTACAGCTATGTGCTGGACTTCAGAGATCGTGTTGCATGTTGTTATCTGAATGTTCGTTTACCTGTAATTGTATACATATTTCGCGGAATTGATTTTTCTAATGATGTGTTCCCTAAGTAGTCTGTTGGGTCTCCTACGTAGTCACCCGGTCATTGGAGTAACAGTCCCTTGTGACTAATTTCCACAAAATACGATCACGTTGTATCATCTGATTTCTGAGGGAATTTGTATTATTTTAACACAGTATGTGCAATTCCCTTCAATATCCAATTGCATGGATTTCAGCTAAATCTGTTGGTTTAGCCAGTTCCATTAGTGATTTCTTTTTTGCAGAGCCTGTCCTCACTAGTAATGATTTGCTCGTCCTTCAACTGTCCTTCACTGTTACAGGTATGCTTTACTGATATACGTGTAATGTGAGATTTTTAATGGAGGGGCGCGATCTGCTCATCAACCTTGTGCCAAAGTCGCGACCTTGCTAGAGGGTTCCGCGGCATGCTCCCCTTATTTTTTTTAAATCTAAACGCCATTTCCTGCATTTTCGATCGTTTGATATAAATGATCATCGTGGCATAAAATTTGACTGGCTTGATATAAATGATCATCGTGGCATGAACTTACTTTCGAAAACGACTTTCAGTCATTATGTTGACTTGTTCATTCCCATGTGAAAAAGTGACTGACAGTAATTATATTAAGTCATTGTCTATTCCTGTGTGCACTTTGGTGCAAAATCATTTTCTTGCAGTTGTGACATGCTTCCATATATGAGATGTGTATCTTTATTCTTCTACGAT